GTTTAGGGTTTTGAGTTCAGGATTTTGAGGGTTTAGAAGTTTGGGTTTAGGGATTGGGGCTTCAGGGATTTGAGTTTGGAGTTTTGGGTTGAGGTATTTCATGGTAGGGAGTAGGGATTTCTAGGAAAAGTCGCGGATAATGGAGAATCAAATGGGAAAGAATGGAACATAACCGGAAACTGTGATTTTAACAAAGCATGGTCATATTCTGGTCGTTGTTCCACTTTGGCATAAAGAAGAATGCAATCCCAGCTGGCGGGTGGGTGATGATCATGCGAAGTGATTGCTGATTTTTCAGACATCACCACAGATTTAGGTCCCTTTTCGGAAGAAGAAGCCGGAGCAAACTTCAAAGTGCGTTCGATAAGCATCAGACATCCCCAGAAAGCCACCTTGGTGGGCCCTTTCTGCAAATCCTTTCCGGAAACAGCTGAGTCTGTGTCGGGAAGGGTGTCTGGGGTGAGGGGTATTTTCAGAAGCCAAGCAGTCCTCGACCCTCAGCCACAGGCCCTCGAACCCAAATCCAATAGATCATGAATCTCAATACTTCTCCCCCAGATTTTCCAGCAAAGGCAGCAAAATCAGCGGCTTGTCAAGGCAGCTTTGACCAAGCTGATGAAGGCCTTGCCAGGGTGTACGGATGCTCTAGGGAGAGTTTAGGGTTTTGAGGAGGGTTTCGGGTTAAAAGGATTTCTGAAAGGTTCATCCCTGACTCATGATATCAGGTGCCACTCGCCGAGGGACGGAGAAGTACACCTAGGGACTCTTCCTTGGGCTTTTAATGCAGCCAGGCATCATAGGTGACAGTTTGCTAAATCCGCGCGGATGAATGATACTCAGTACAGTACAGACACACAACAGACGTCAAACCCTAGTTTGCAGTCAGGGATCATTGTAACTTCAGGGCAACCTCATCATGACCCTTTGTACTCACAGGTGGGTGTCAGCTTTGTGTAGCAGCACACAGAAACGCAATTAAAACCGGGATGAAGCGGGTAGATCTAGGTTAGGCTGTACCGAATGGGTATTTGAGTATCTCAGCAACTTCCCAGTCCCTCAAAGTACGTCGAAGCTGACTAAGCGGCCGTTGTGCCAATGAACTGGAAGACGGAAACCTGAACAATTGCTGATGGGGCTCCTGTCGTGATAGAGCCACAATGAACCACAATAAAGCCCCAATATACTATGGTAGATTCCATTTTCTCTTCCATTATCCCAATATAGCCTTAAATCCCACAGTTGAGATGACCACGACCATTTCCCTAAATCCCAATTTTGCATCTTTACACCCCCCATAGTGCGACCTCAGGAGGAAAGGTTATTCGTTATCCCTGCGCTTGAGAACACTGGGAAGATCACCAAGATTAGCGCGGCTACACCGTTACAAATTGCTGCATCTTGGTGTCTATCGGAGATAAGGTTTTAGGGTGTAGGTTTCAGGGCTTAGGGTTTATGGTTTAGGGCTTAGGGTTAAGGATTCTGGACCACTGCCTGCCTGTCAGCCTGAAGTGAGGCCAGCGCCCACAAGAGAGCTGCTGAGCGCTGCAGCGGAAAAAGAGTGCCTAGCTCTGACAAGCTAGGTAGTAGAAAAGCTCGAAGGGCGACCAGGGAATATCTTATAGCTTGGGTACTGCCCCCCCCCCCCCTCAGTAACAATCTATATTGGGGGGTCCTAAATAAGGGCTAAAAATACCATATTATACTAATTATCCAACTGTTACTGAGGAGGTGGCAGTACCCAACTTACAGCATCATGTAGCTCCTTTCTTATACAAAAAGTGTTTGGTAATGTGCCTAATCGCCACGAAAAAGCGGGCTTGGAAGTCCTTACAAAAACTAGTACAGCTATGATAAGGCTGAAATGGTAATCTCTACGCCATTCAAAACGCTTGGAACCTCAAGACTGGGTTAATTGAGTAGCGATAATGGGTTAATATAGAGTAATTAATAGGGTTTCCCCAATATACTTAAATCGAAGTCCTTAACAGCAACCCAGTCAAGAGGGACTCCCCAAGTTTGCCATGCATCCCTGTTGTTGCTCCATTCTGGCAGGGCATGCCTGTTTCACTGCAGCTTTGTGCTTCAAAGTGGGCCTGCAGTCTGTTTCTACCTGACTGCATGAATATGCAGGTATCTCAACATGGGGTACCCTTATGCATCCTACAGCGATTTGGGAATTTGAAGGGGATAATGCGGTGTTTCATTCTGCTCAGGCATTTGTACGCGTAGGGAGTCGGCTCCGTCTGAAGTTGCGCTGTAACATTCATGCTTTAGGGTTTTTGGTGCCAATATTCGAGTCCCTTTTGAAGAGCTACCAACCTTCAAGCTTCGTAGCGCCCTGCCACATGTCCCATGATGCTCAGAATCATCCTTATAAGGCCCCATCATGCTCTCTGTACTTCCTATCACCATCTCGAGAGCCTACTTGGGGGGAGTCAGTCGGACTTAGTAAGTATACTTAGAGCCCCTAGAGGTTAAAAGCCTGGCAATTACTTTACTGGGGAAACCCTACTATCTACTATATTATATACCTGCTATGGTAGCTGAAGTTAGGTTCCTAAGCAGCAACCCAGTAAACGGCCATGACGAGCTTACGCCCGATGATGGTCGAGGACTTGCTTCACTTCAATGTGCCCCGGCTAATGCTTTCATGGCAAGCTTAAGAGGGTCTAGGGTTAGGGGGTCGTATATAGAGATATCTAGGGATGTATTTGGGGACGAAGAGGTCCTAGGGTTCAGAGGTTTAAGGTTTAGGCTTTTCGGGTCTCCATACAGGTATGAGGAGAATAGGTCCATGTGCTTAAAGGCCGTACTGCAATTTGGAAAGCTCGTGGAAACGCCTGCGTGGCAACATAGGTTCATAGTTTTGGAACACACAACTTCGCGGTTGTACAGTTTTCCATTTGGCAAAACTATACCAGATGAAGTTCGACCTGATGTTGTCCGGGATTTCTTTCTTCCCAGGAAGCCCGTTCAAAACATGCAAAAGAAGCCAGACGGGATCGCTTAAAGGCTGTTTCTTGCAATTGCACAAGAGATTCCCCAATATCATGGGTCCTCTTCTAGGCTCATGTGATTGTGCCACTTGGGGGCTGTATATTGAGGCTTTTTGATTTTGAGAGAAGTATGCATGAAGCTTCGAGTGTCCCGCGCATTTGAGCCTTGTAGTCTCAAAACTCTGTGCTTCAGATCCCAGAGAAGCTTTTGAGAACATCTAATCCTAGTCAAGCCTAGGGAAGAGGGTTTCACTGTCTGAGGCGGTGAATTTGGACACCTGGACAGAGACGTTCAACATGAACTTCTACTTCAACTATCTAACTCGCTGGCCAGAATGCTGCGCTGTTGCCGAAGCCATCGATGGAAGCATCGCAGGATACATTATCGGGAAGGTGGGTTATGCTCCAAAATCTTTGGTACCACGTGGGGGTTTCTGATAGTTTAGAGTTCCTTGGGGGGCTTCCTATACTGAGGATTATAGTATATTTGCGCTTATACTGATGTCCCCATTTATGGAAGCTACCATGTATCCCACAGAATCAGAAGAAGTAACGCAAATTCTGAGAGCCCCAGGGCAGCGAATCAAGGATTCGTCTGCTTCGTAGACCTGAGTCATGCCCAAGCCTTCACATCTCAGTCGACTGTGGGGGTTTCTCAATAAAGGGTATGTAAGGATCATGAGGAGATTATATTATAGGGATCCTTATATGGGATTATGTAGGGGTCAGTTTGAGACATGCCCATGTATGTCTTTTAGAATTCAGTAAGGAATGATGAGGGTTCCTCACTGGACACGGTGGACTGTGGAGTGCGCCCTCGTCCTACAACTCAACCCTAAGTCCTAGACGCAAGACCTTTACCCCATACTCCCAAACCCTGAAACACAGGATCCTAACACTCTAAACCCTGAACCCTCATACTCTAAGCTCTGCTACCTTTGATCCTGAACCCAATCTCCACCCTAAGCCCTTAACTCCAACATCCACAGGTTGAGGGCAATGGTCAGGAGCCTTTTGGCAGCATTTCGAGCTGGTTACATATTCAGACAGCTTTTGGTTTATTATCAAATGGAGTTCAGGACTGTGCGGGCAAGTTCCAGAGTTGAAGGTTGCTTTGGGGGTTTGAGGTTTTCGTGTTCGTCAGTGCCGTTTTGTCACGGCTGACATGTCTGCTTATGCTTTCTTCGGTGCAAGGAGCAGCAATGAAAAGTTCAGCCTTACTTCTCGTGCGAAAGTTTAGTTTTCAGGTGAGCCCGAGTCATTATGGCATGAGCTCTCGAAGTCTGAGCCGCAAATCGTCAGCTTCAAGAGAACCAGATCCCTGTACCACCTTGCAGCCGTTGAGGTTTATAGGGTCTAAGGTTTAGGGTCCGGTTGTTCTCAAATTAAGATAGGCCACCACAATGATCTAGTCCCCACCACCGAATTCCTCATATAAGCCTTACATATTCTCTAACCCATTCTGAAATCCACCTGTACAACCCTTGAACTTGGGTACTGCCCCCACCTACTAACAGTCAATATTGGGGGTCCTGTTAAGGGCAAACTATAACCATCATATAATTAGTATCCAACTGTTACTGAGGGCGGGGAGTACCAAACCTGAAACGAAAAGAGAACGGGCCCTAAACCTCTTGCCGCAAGGTGGCACGGCCACGTCTCCGCAATTTCCGTTGCACCGGAGTTTCGCAGAACTGGTGTGCTCAGTCTCAATTTCTTTGAAGCTCGTGGAGACGGAGGGGTACCCCCCTTTTGAAACCCTAAACCCTAAACCCTAACGCGGTTTAGGGTTTCGGGTTTAGGGTTTAGGGCCCAGAACAACTATAATCATTGTCTAGCATCCCTGCATACCCATGGCATCCGTTTCCATTACTAAAGCTTGCAATTTCGGGATGAGCACTCCTCGGGAGAGGTCTGCTGATAGTCAGATAGTCGTCGTCGGAGTTGTCGTTGAAGCAGTCGTAGGGGAACTTCTTGCTGTTCTGATTGCGAAAAGGTCGCGCGCCACATGGGAGATATGGGCCATATGCACGGGTGTTCCCAGAATGATTCTCAAGCCAGACTGACATTGATGCACACCCCTCTTCTCCTCCCTCTGCCTGAACCCAAAACCTCCCAGCTGTTTTTTTGTTTTACCTGTTATCCTTAACAATTTCAACCTAATGATGGACTCGAGTCGAGGGTCCCACAACAAAATGCTGCTTACCGAGTTCCTTGCAACATGATTTATATAGGCCATATATGGACCCATTGGGGTAATGTTAGGGTTATATTGGGGTTATATTAGGATCATGGAAAAGAACATGGAAGCTACTGGGATGCTTTGTCCTAAACCCTAAACCCTAAACCCTAAACCCTAATCCCTAAACCCTAAACCCTAAACCCTAAACCGAGCTGAAATTCTGAGATCCCCATCCTCCAGCGACACCTGACAGGGTTTTGATTCTGGGTTTGCCCCTAAACCCGAGCCCTCATTGCAATGTAGGTTCCATTTCTTTATCCCAATATAACCCCAATATACACCCTATAATCCCTACATATTCCCTACATAATTCTTTATCCCAATATAACCCCAATCTTACCCTCCTCATTTAAGCTGCTTGCGGCCCGTGAGACTCAGGTAGCAAATCGCTTAATGGAATATCTCGAGGAGGCCGGAGCGGAGGGTCTGGGATGAATCTCATACCCAGGGTTTAAGGTTTAGGGCTCAGGGTTTAGGGCGCTAGGGAGTCTAACCCTTTTTTGAGGAGTTTTAGTATCATCCAGGGCATATTGCTGAATGAATCCCTATTGGGGTCTGTGGGTATATATGCCCCAACCTGCCTTGAGGAGACGGCTAAAGGAGTTGCATACCTGAAGCCCTAAACCCTAAACCCAAAGCCCTAAACCCTAAGAGCTGGCATTCAAAAAAGTTGTTTTAACAGCGCAGGCAGCGCCCCAAGTCTAGGTTGGGCCTGCTTCAAGGTTCATGGGATTTAGTAACTCCTTATACCTTAGGTGGACCCCCACCCAGTAATAGTGGCTATAAAGGATAATAAGGATTATATTAGGGTCCTCTTATATTCCTATTATACCACTATTACAGGGTGGGGAGTCCTCCTAACTTATAGCTGTACTTATAACTGAGTGAGCAGCATGAGCCCAGTTTGGGGGATTATGAGGAGGTTTATAGGCCCAGATATATATCTTTTACCAAGCCCCATGAACCTTCAGCTGTAATAAGGCCAGCCAGCAGCTTGCTTTGTGGTCAGTTAAGCCGCATAGCGAGCGAGGCCGTATGAGGGCCTGAGCAAGATGAGGTGGAAGGGCAATTCAGATCCCTATAATAATACCTACATAACAACACCCATATGGGGGTCTCCTAAAATTAGGGGTACCTTGTTGGGGGTCCCAATAAAAAGGATTGTAGTATTTTGGGGTCTATATTGGGGTTCCAATGTCTTATCCAATTGATCGGTCTTCTGCGATTTGACTAGCTATCATGTTTTCATGTGGGGCATTCGCGAAATTCTCTGAACCTTTTCAGATGCCTTGAACAGCGCAAAAGCAGGGCCTAGTTCTGGAACCTGGTCACATATCGGGAGAAGTTTTGACCCCAAACTCTCCTTGTTTCTTGGAAACACCCAGGTCAGCGAGAAGGTGCATGACTGCTATTTTGTGGACCTCTTTGTGCGGCCAACAAACACAGATGCACTCAAATTCTATGATCTTCGGATGCAGCATAACAGGGCTTCGAGTCAGTTTTTAGTGTCTAAAGAGTTTATGGTTAGAACCTGAAGGGCTTCGGGCTTTGGGTTGCACAAGGGACAGGGCTTCGGCTCAGAATGCGAGCTTGAGTAATGCCACGACTCCTTGTTCGTCGTCTGTCTGAATGTAAGCAAGCCGCCTCCCAGCACCAAGCCAATGAAGAACAGTAGACATCGCTGTTCTAATGCAGACGTACCGCACAGAAGCTTCACTAGTAAGAAGGAGGTATAAGCGAACCAAGACAGCCGGCATGCAAGAATACAAGGCCAGACAGCCCAGAGAACGCATGTAAGGGTAGATCAATCTGAATCGGACGGTCCCCGGGAACGCTGCCACAAGTCTCTTCGAGGCTCCGGCTCTCAGATCCTGCCAGCACGCCCAGCAAATCTGGATCTTTCACGCAAGGACCAGCCCTCAGATCCTGAACCTGACGTTTGCATATATGCAGTTGAGCAGATACGTGAGTGTTTCACGACATGATGGATGCCCACAAACGCGATATCCTTCTTCTTCAGCTTCCTGCCCCCTGCGCAAACTCTCATGTTGACAAGGGTTTGTCAAACAAAAGAAGGTCCATTCCCGATCCGCAAAAGAGCCAAGACTCCTGGGTGAAGGTGTATCAAGTATTTGATGTGACCACCAGAGAATGCTCGGGAGTCTCTCTAAACCGAACCCCCCCCCCATGGTCCTCCAGAAGAGATCCCACATTCTCCTCGTTACTGCCCCTATTCTTCCCATGTATCCCCGCACCCCGAACCCTAAACCCTAACTCTGGGAGGGTCCTCAGAGCCTAGGAAGGCTTGGGCTACGTCGTCTATCGGACGGTGACAGGGTATTACTCCGGTGATGAGGACTTGAACTTGATGGTACGTAATTACTGGGGTTAGTAGGGAATAAGGGATTCGATTATAGGGTTTAGGGTTTGTAGGGAATAAGGGATTATGTTATATAGGGGTTTATATAGGGATTATATTCCCCTATTCCCTACTAAGAACCAGGAAGTAAGGGGTCAAGGGGTCTTCGGGTGTAGGGTTCGGGGTTTTACGTCTGGGGTTTTGTTTGGGGGACCCTAAATGCGTCAATGGGGGGGGGGGTTGTAGGGCCTTGAAGGGCATCCTGCCGATTGCAGCGTTTTCACTCTTGACAATGCAGTTGCTATTCATCTGCACGAATACCTCACTGCACTCATGCTCCATCACCCTTGCGAATGTTTTTCCTTGGCATTTGCGTGGTAGGTTATCAAAAACATGATACCTTGCTGGTCCCCTGCTGGCCACCTTGCATATTGGAGACCGTATTACACTAGGATCCCCAAAAAGGGTGATAGTGTTGACTACCTGTTTATGTGAAGAGGCTGATAGGCATCCTACAGTCAGCCACCCAAAATCATTATTACTATTAGTATGATTACTAATACGAGTAGTATTGCTATTTTTACTACTATTGGTATTATATACTGATTATTCTTACTAGAATTAATATGTATGCATTAGCGGAGGATGCGTTTGATATGCGGAAGCCCTTGCCCCGAGCGCCTTGCAAGCATTTTGAGGGTGTCTCAAACCTAAGGGCGGCAAGGGTTTAGGGTTAAAGCACGAAAGGAGTGTCTCTGTACCCTGCCGAGCTGGCTCCTAAATCCGGGTTCTGGCGTCCGAATGCCCTCAATGCCATACTTCTGAACATCAAAAGAGCTGGGAACGGGGGAAGCTATCTCTACAGCGGCCCCTCTACAATCCTTACAACCCCTATGATTCATCTCCCCCTTCCCAACTAGGCAAGTAAATCCTCAACCCTAAATGCCTAAATGCTGGACCATAAGCCTTAGATCCCAAACCCTACATACTACATACTAGACCCCAAATCCTACACCCGAAATCCCCAACCCTAGCTAAGGATGAGCAGCGCAAGTCCGTTGCGAACGCGGGCTTTCGTATCTCCCCTGAAGCGCTCCATGCTGGCTCCAGCTGAGGTGAGAAGGGGTGCAGTGGGACAGGGTTTAGGGTCTAGTATACATTGTAGTTTCCATGAATAAGGGGACCCCAATGTCCTTGTTATAGGTATTCCAAAAAAGGGGGCCCCCGATTTTTGGAAACCCTTACGTTCAGGGCGAAGCGTGTAAGGCTTTATAGTGCCCGCCAGCTAAAGATCTAAGTGTACGGGGTTTTAGGCAGGGTTTTAGGCTGGGTTTTAGGCTTTTGGCTTTTGGGTTGCTTTTGGAGTTCAGGGCTAATACCCTAAACCCAAAACCCATGCTTTGGGAGCTTTAGGGTGCGGGGTCTGGTGCTGAGGGATTAGGGTTTTGGGTTTCTGTATGGTGCGGGGTGTAGGTTTTACGGTGGATACTAAAATCCAGCATGACCCTAAGTACCTTCTACCCTGGGAATTATGGCACTATAGTGTAGTAAGGTCATGCAGGATCTTTAGTATCAACAGTAGTTTGAGGTTTGGGGTTTAAGTCTGCATCATGGCTTTGTGGGCTTATGACGGATTGAAGGGTTGCTTTTGAGATATTTGGTCGGCATGTTCAGGGTTCCTGGGGAAATATTGGTGAGTGTACATATTTGGTGTCCAATCTGCAGACCAAAATACATCAAAATCACACCATACGAGCTATAGTCTAAACTCCTGAAGCGGGGTTATACAAGGGATTATATAGGGGAGTACTATGGGGTGTGCTACAGGGGATGCTAGGAGTTCAGACTATAGCTCGTATCTCAAAAGCAGGAGTCAAACATCTTGGGGCTAACAAGGAGGCCCAAATTTGGGGAACCGCCAACATCCGAGCTATATACTCGCCTCGCGCACAGATTTAGGTTTTAGGGTACATACCCTAGAAGCCCAGTTACCTATATATTGGGTTCCTGTCCTTTAGTCCCTATATAATTTCATATTATCTGTAACCCAAGGACCTACTATATGGGTACCTGGGCTTCCAGGGATATGTATGAAGTTTCCATTTTGGTCCTTGGCAGCTGCTGTGTATCGTGCTTCAATATGCTTCAGAAGCCTCTGCAGCAATGCCAGCCAAAGCCATCGACGCCTCAAGCCGGACTCCTACCCCGTAAGCCGCGTTCTGGATCATGCCGACTGAAATGTGAGACAAGATAAACCCATGAACCTAAACCCTTGCTAAACCCATTGTTTCATTGATTCCTTTAAATGTGTGCAAGTGCAGCCAGTGACCGCTGAGACTACCTAGCGACTTGCGTGTCTAGTTTCCATACCGTTCCATAGTCTTGGCCATGCTTTAACAAGTAGACTTCTAGGCAGCGCACTGAGTTTCATACGACATGCATGTCACTGCAGGCATCAGTTGTTCTGACGTTTGTGTCTCTCATTGCTAAGCATTCGCAAGCCCGTGAAATCGCACACCCACATCCTAGCCAAAACCCCAATCCGGAGGCAGACACGCCTCTGTCTACTTGGCAGCCCCAAAAAAAGAGAGCTCAACTGCCGGGGCTTTGGGGTTTCTCAACAGTAGGGCTAGCCATTGGGGCTTTGGGGATTCTCCGGCTTGCAGGGCCACATCTACCTGGACCCCAAAAGTAGGTAAAATAGTGGCCTTCATGGCTATTCTTATGGGTTTGGGGCTATTATGTTACATACTTTTGGGCTTTAGGTAAAGGATCATCTGATCATCTTGGGTTCAAGCAAGGATGTAGAGGGCTTGTGCTATCGGGGTGAAGATGCCTGAAGGAAGTGAGGGATAAGGGGGTAGCACATTCAGAGTCAGATGGTACAGTGGGGAGGCGGCTTCGGCCAGGGCGTAACAGGTTTAAGTTGGAGGTTTCCTAGATCTCGATGGATTTTTTTGGTGCTGTACCTGTAGTGGTCTTGAGGTCTATAGCTTGTGGCGGATCATGATAAACAGCCTCACTACAGAGGACGATGGGCATGCGGAGTTTTTCTGGTGGTGCCATTTCTGACTACTGTAGTCCGTTGCCCAAAGGCCTAGGTAAGTACGTACTGAAAGCCAACCCTACCACGCCCCTTCTGTTCACTACTCGTGACACTGCGAAAGTATTACCTATGCAGAAGCCCAGCCAAATGGTAGTTTCCATAAATAGGGCGTCCCCAATATGGCCTCTCAAAATGCTGCAGTCCTCAGTGTGGGGACGCCCAGAATTGGAACCCTAATTTCGGACCCCCAAATTTTCGAGGGCACCTTACAGACGCAAGGAGTAAACCATTAGATTTATGTGCTTTGTGGCAGTTCCTACGCACTCTTGTAACGCGGAGCTTCCATGTTGACATCTACATTGGGGGTCTCTAGACTTAGGGGTACCAATTTGGGGAGTGGGGGTCTACTTGGGGTCCCCCTATTTTTGGACACCAGAGTTCAGCATCCAATCTGTAGGGGTCACGGTTTTCTTGTTTCTACTCCTCACGGTGCATTGTTCAGGCCTTGGATGCAGGGCCGAGGGTGTCTAGAATGCCCTCTTGTAGCTCCTGAAGACCTACAGTCGTATTTCCTTTTAAACTGCATACATTGGGGTGAAGGGTTTAGGTTTAGGGTTTAGAATTATGGTACAACGCGCCCAAATTCGTAGGTTATAAAACAGGCCTTATGTTAGACCTTGCTCCACAAACCTTGATAGATTCGGATGAATCGTTACCCCTTAGCCATTCGTCCTGAACCATCAATCCAAAGCTTTACACGCAGAACAGGAAATCCTATAGTTTGCATGTCCAGCCCTCATAGCTAATCCTAAAGCCCGAACTCCTACACCCTTAATTAATACTGCATCTCAGATCCCCATTCCACACTGTTTTAAAGTGATGGAAGCATGGCTGATTTTGCTGACATCGCCTCGCCTCCCACGCCCACCAAAGCTGGCGACCTGCTTTTCGGCAAGCAAGGGGGGGGTTTATCACTGGGGAAGATATGATACTTTCCTTAGATAGGGGGACCCCAATATATACCCCCAAACGCTATCATCCTGATTATAATAATAGGG